ATCATAATATTGCAGAAGTAAGTGTGAACTATTCCTTGAGAAAATGAAAGAGAGGTAATGCGGGAGGCAAACTTGACTAGCTTGACTAAATTTGACCATTCCCCCCACTCAAGAACGAGATAATGAGAGGTAAAGGGCAATTTTCAGAACCGAGGAAGGAGCAAGCCATGTAAACAAAAACAGGCAAGCACGCCAAACGCCGACCATGTCTTCGTAATTTCCATTGCAGAAGGCTATCTGCATTGGCGTCTGTGAGATCTAAAGCACACTCGAAGCAGAGTTTTGAACTCTGCATGAGAGCACGAGATACAGTGGGTGTAGATCCTCTAGATTCCGAAGATGGCAAGCACATCTATCGAGAACTTTCCTAATAACGAAACATCTCATTCTTAGCAGATTTGTTCTCCATGATTTCTTCAAAACAATTCGGTGAGGTGGGGAGTTCTGTAGACAAATTCAAATCGCCCACTTTCCAGAATCTATATCTTATATCGAAAGGTAGCCGTGCTAGATGAGTTTGGGAACTTCGCATAGTACTACATCAAAAAATTCTTCCATGTCGTGAACTGCGATTTGAAGTTTCGGAGGCTCAAGGGGCACGAGGAATCAAGCTTTTTGCCAAGGTAGGGCGGGGTATCAAAATTACCATTACGCTAGGGACATTGCAGTGATCATGGAACGACCCTGAACACGACATCATCAAGAAATTTATGACATCTAAGAATTGCGCTGAGTTTTGCAAACAGTTTATTCCTTAGATGAATAAACTCTTGTCAATTCTACGAGTTCTACGAGTTCCACCAGAGGCAAGGAATTTGATTGAGTCTCTTCGGCACGGTCCGCCTGAGGGCGACGGCATTAATCGGACATTGCGGCTCAACATTATCTTTTTATGCTTTTGCCTCAAAATCCTGTATCAAATGTATATGGATAGGTATGTATCAATAACGGTGTATCATAGAGTGGTAATGGGGGCTTGTAACTCTCCCTATTGGTTTTCTCAAACCTGGTCGCTACTATGAGTTTCGTCCTCTTCGTTCTGTATCCGTTAATCCTCTAGGTTCTCGAACACTATGGCTTCCCCATTGAGCATTCTCTTCCTCACATCGATGGCATTTTGTATCGAGCCTTACAAACCTCCCCTCTTCATATCCTTATACCCGATCTTTCGTCAAACGGGCGGTTCAATACTTTGTGCGTCCCGTCCAGCATCCCCGCCATTGCCACTCTGTTCGCAGATCTCACAGATCTCATCGATAACACGCCAAAAACGTTAAAGCAGATATAGCAGATATGCCATTGGGTGGAAACGTTGCACTATATCCTACGCAGAACTACCCGGACACAGTTGCTGGCGGCCGGGTATATATCAGTGGCTGCGAGAGATCTTGAGGCAGTCCCCAAAGTTGGTACAATCGAGGTGCGGGGTTATTGACGATTTCTACAACATGGCTTTCATGCATCACCGATACATCAAAGCTTTTCGGCTGCATATCGATATCTTGCATCTTGAGGAAGCGAAACAAAAATTGATAGTCAACAGCTCGCTTTGGGTATCTAAGAACTACTTGATTTCTGTATACCTCATACTCCTTTGCCACGTCTTGCAAGCGCAAAATTAGTATAGGAATCAGCTTTCTTATAACTGACTTTATGATCATCGGCTCGAGCTTCACTTTTTTGGTTTTCCAAATACTTTTTGTTGCATGTCTTCCGGAACACTTTTCAGCCGAAGTAGTTTTGCGGGGGAATTCTCATCCGGATGAACTTCTAAAAGCTCTTGGCGAAGCTGACTGCTGCATAACTGGCCTGATAATTCGGTCATTCCTTTCTCGGATCGTTCTCCGATTTTATCCATGCCACAACATCATCGATTGGTGTAAATCTTCTAGATAATGGGTAATTATAACCGAGTATTGTTCTCGTCGATTGTTCCACAGCCCTATCATTAGTTTTGTCGTCGATCATACTATGTTGCACCAAAAAGATTTTTGTTTGTTGTCGTGCGATGTACCGGCTCAGCTATTTGTGGCATTCTCCTGCTTATTTAGGAATTCTTCGTACAAATTGAGCTTCGTGTACTTTGAACAATTTTTATATCCTATATTGCGTGCTATTGCATACCTTAAGCGCGATGTGTTGCGGCTTCAAAACATGATCGACTTTCAGGCTAGGAAGGGTCCTCACCACTCCTTGTGGTTTATATTTGGTTCTCCAATGGTGTCTGAGGCTTTGATTGCGCTTAAATCTTCTGAAGCAATTATAAATTCCTCTGTATCTATCCGTGATTATAGTGTCTTGATTAAGTATATTTTCATGTACATAGCACTGCCAGCTTCACCACCTCTATTTGCAAAACCACCCTTAGCCTGATTCGCCACCGCTCAAGAAGTACTATTACTTTTGCCAATCAACTGATACTGGTTCTTCATTATCTACCGCGTGCCATATCCCTTCTCTTTTATATCCGACCAATCCTCCTCCTCCTGGCACAAATTTGGCGATAGACTCTCTAATCCTGCATTTTTCCGGTATCTGCTCAGCCTTTTCTATTATTAAATCACCAAGATTTTGACTTGTGCCCTTTTTCCTCATTTCTTCGATCGCGGCTCCTTCTTCAATCTCCATCATTTTCTTGGCAATTTTAGTGTATATCATACTATCTATGATTCCTTCCTTTCGATTACAATTTTCAAGAACACGCAAAGCTCGACGACGCATTAACGGATCTCGACATCTAGTGGAAACTAAATAGATGGGAGTAAGAAAGCCGCGATGGTAATGAAAGGTTGGAGGCGTTCCTCCCTGGTTAGGACTAATCATGAATTTATTTGGAGAGGTCATCTCGGCATAATCAAGTATCATTTGATATTGGGGGAGGTAAGAATCCCAAGCTATTTCACCTATCGCTATATCGATATTGAGTAGAATTGAAACTATCGTACGACTCATTTGTAACAAGAGAACTGCTGGGTGGAATGGTGGAAAGTCGGAAGCACCAAACGCCGTGCACCAAGATGAAAATCCGTATCGCATATTTGCTCCATGAATTGGTGGAGTTTGACATGTAGAAAAATCGACATGTTTTCGTAATGGATCCAAAGGATCTAACCATCTTGAAAGGCCATCATATCTGTGATAGCGCTGAAGCAGCGGAGGGGGAGGTATACGATGTTTGTTTGCTTCTCCCAATTGTTCCATCATATTCCATAGATAAGAAAGGTATAAATCGAATGCATTCTGCGCTTCCTCTACTGTCGTGAAGTTATGAGGTATGTTGAGAGTAGGCAGTTGAAGGAGGCGTGTAGTATTGGCCGCAGTGGCTGTTTGTCCGCATTCTGTAATTTGATTTTCTAACCGAGCAAACATAGGAAGAAAAACATCCTTTTGCAAAGAACCATCCTTGAGTCCCCCAAGTCTCTTATCTTCCTCGATAAGAATCTTTATACCACCAGCGATGTGGGTTAAAGAAGCCTCATAATTGTTCCTTAGATTATCAAAAGCGGAGAAAACTAGGCACATCATGAGAACGATATCAATATTTAAAGCCTTGGGATTGACTATTCTTTGGATAGCCTTCTGATAATGAATCAAGGCATAATTCGAATCTAACGCTTGAACATCTCTTGAATGACCAAAATTCTCGTGGAGAGCCCCCAAGGCAACAACAGCATTAAAAATAGCCGATTCTGCATGAGCCGTTTGTAATAAAACTGAAGACCAAAGATCCGCTTCGAAAGGTCCCGTTAACTCTACCGCAGTCCGAAGCCGAAAGAAATCAAAGAATCTTTGCTCTCTCGGTGTGATACCGGGTAGAAGACTTAATGCATCAACTGGCGAGGAAGCAGAATATACAACGAATTTGAGTGGCCGACTACTGGCTGCGGACATGGATGGCAGAGGTGCATATCCTTCGCAAGTTCGTTTGGCCTTGAGACATCGTTGACATGTAGGCTTGCCTTCGTCACATTTCACCCGGCGCGCCCTATTCCAAAATAAGCTTAATGAAATTAATTCTCCGGAGGGTTTCTGCCCAGAACACTACCTACTTGCATGTAATGCAACCCGATCGGACTTTACTACCACCGTATCGGAATCGTATAATACTGGAGCTCATTATCTTTTTTCGCACACGGTTTACAAGACAATTACAAGACGTGGCGTTAGTAAACACTGTCGAGCCGTGTCGTTGTCGATAATACCCACCTTTTTGGACTGAAAACACCAATTATCGTTGATTGCTCAAGAAACGTTGACATAAATATGTCACCCCCACTTTTCATATAAAATTAAGGGTATAACGGGAACGGGGTTAGTCTGGCTAAAAGCGGTTAGTAGTCTACGAGAAAATCCCTGCCCCTTATCTTCGCTTCTTCTGGCTACTCGTCTGCTCATTCAAAATCGGTATGGAGCTTGTATTAAGACCCAATACTCGGTCCGAGTATTTCACGTTATGTGAAGTCTTTATACATACACCGTTAACATCTCCAACCGCTTGATGTGAAATTTGAAAAAAGGGATGTCCCAATCAGGTCAGCCGAGATCCCCATGCCATTCATGAGTTTGAGGACTGTAATCGGGCTGGCTCAGTTGTCCGCAACTAAGTCTTCATTCTGAGGAACGAGGTGAATCAGTTTGGTATCTTGGGTGAGGTACTGAAAGATTGGTGTCTGTTGCATGTCGATTTATTATTCTGTTCATCGTGATCCTATTACTTCCCCATCTCATCTTCTAGGGACTTTTCATTTCCTCTCTCGCAAACTTTCTCGATATTCTTACGTGTATGTATAATTTGGCTATCCAATCATTAACTGGAGTCTGTCTTAATGCTTTGGTACTCATTTCGTCTGTCCAAGCTTCCATCTTAAGGTTTATGAGAAACCCATTGTATAAAAGTCAAACACAAGTCACTGGGCTTGTGACTTTTGACGAGGTTGGTGCTCCAGCATTTTCCCCGCTGTGTAATTAATATTTTCCAGGGATTCTGGTTTGCAAACTTAATGGTCGGAGCCTTAGAAATTAGAACATCAGTTGAAGTTCTCATTAACATTGATTTTGCTGACCTAGTTTCTAACCCAGGATTATACAAAGCTAATTCCGCATCTGTGAACTTACAGAAGTCATTCAATGCAACTTATAGAGCTGTCACCAGTGATACATTATCTGTAAGTTCAAGTGAAACCGAATTTCATCTCAGTGATCCATTTAAAACTAGTCATTATGGATTTCTCAACTCTTCCAGATAATCGACTTCCTATAGAACGATACGACCATCTTCCAATCCCTCAATATTTCCAATCAACCCATTGGCGTCCTTCCATCTACCTCTAGCACCACTTCCACTTCTATCTACTCGCACAATGGCATCGTCGAATTCGGAGACTCCTCGCTTAGTGGTAGCAATTGTACAACTTATTTCCACATCAAAGTCTCGTCCCGAAGTTTGTCGCTTTAGACTCGTTCTCTCCACAAACAGCATTTGTTCTCTGCCTCTCGGCGCCTTCAAAACGGATTTGGTTAACGAAACTTCCTTGAGAAAAGTTCCGATTATTTGGGACTGGGCTACTTTTGGTGACATCACCATCAACAGCAGTATTTCCACCATCTTACAGGATATAACTTTAGAGTTCGATAGTGCGAATACTGGAGTTGTTGGATTCATGTCTGCTGAGGATGCTCTCTTCAATCTCACCAACATCCAATCTGTACTTATTTTTTACGCAGCCGGTGATGCGTTCGTAGGTTACTACCATTGTTTATCTTCCTGAACTACCCGGTTGAGTCTCCCATCGAAATTGAACTTCACATCCTCTGCGGCCTCGAAAAAATCCCCAGTCTTTGAAATCGAAAGCTCAGCACTGTCTATTGGCCAGAATGGAGAAAGCTGTATATTTGTCATCTCGGGGTTTGATTATGAGGCTCAACCTGGTCTATGGGTTATGGGACAAGCTTTTTCTCAGGAAAAATATTTGGATCATGATTTGGATAATGGGTTACGGGTCTCTCAGTGTTTGACGGTGAGTATCGATATCGATAACTCGGTGAATTCAATGCTTATATGTGGAATCGTCAGCAAAATACTGGTACAAACAGTTTGCTGACGGCTATATCTGACCATAGCTCCGGGTGAAGAAACGGAAAAGTTTGAAGACCAGCAATAACCCCCCCATAGCTATTGTCATCATTTATATCTCTAATCATGGCCTTACTAAAAATCGTAGAGACAACACTGCTTGTGTCACTACTATCGACGATAGTAGGTGCAGTCTACAGGCTTTACTTCTATCCATTGAGACACATTTCTGGTCCCAAAATTGCAGCGCTTACGTGGTGGTACGAATTCTATTCCAATGTCACAAAACCTGGACAATATGTTTTTCATATCAAGAAACTACATGAAGAATACGGTTTGTCAAAATTTTCATGCTGCTACAGGCTTAATCATTGCCAACTCTATCGTCCTAGGTCCAATCATTCGCATTACCCCAGACGAGATTCATGTTAATGATTTTGGTTTTCTTGATACAATATATGCACCCCCATAATCCCGAAGAGATAAATATGCTCGTAATTTGAAGCAGTTGCAAGTTCCTGGGAGCTTTGGTGCAACTGTATCTTTCGATGTTCATAAAAAGCGACGTGAAGCTTTAGTTCCATTCTTTAGTAAAAGGAATGTTCTATACCTCGAGTCAATGATCACTTCAAAAGTTCAACAGCTCTGTGACGTTATTTCTTCTCACGCTGTTGATAAATTGCCATTAAATCTTTCGGATGTATTATTTGCATTTTCTAATGAGTATGACCTTGATATTTCTCGAAACTTCGAATTATCATGCTAATCAGACGCAGTATGGCTGAGAACTTCTTATTTGCTCATGAAGTTAACAACCTTGCGGATGAGAAAAATGCTGCATCACTTCGTCGTAACACTTATCAACTATGAAGAGGCGTGCATAGAAACAAACATAAGCCATAGATTCCCGACCTTCTCGAAAACCCCCCAAATCTATGACCAAGTCAATTATGCCACCTGAACTAGTTGATATGTTTGCTTTACTTGCAGTAAGTTTTCTTCAAAGAAGATTTTTCAGAGATGATAGCTGATGACGCGTTGGGCAGAGAGTTCGTGCTGAATTAGTGTCCATCATGGAAGCAAAAACCTCTGGGAATACCAATAAATCTTTAGGTCCGACAGGAAAAGAGTCGGTATATGATTCTGTCTTGAATAACACCAGTTTACCAGAATCCGAAAAATCACCGCTCCGCCTTCAAAATGAAGGTGCACGCACTACTTGTCCTTGCGGGTACTGAGTCTCCCGCAAAAACACTTAGAATTGTGTTTTACCACCTCGTTTCCAACTCCGCTATCCTTGCCAAACTTCGAAAAGAGCTCAAGTCACTTCCCGATAATGTAACATGAACGTAACTCGAGCAGCTGCCTTATCTATCTACTGTTATAGAGGAAGGAAACCTTTTAGCTTTTGGTGTTGCCGCTCGTACTGCTAGGATTTCTTATGAGCCACTTACGTATACTCCATCTCAATATGTGATCAATCCGTCAAAGTTCAGCAAAAGCTATGTAATCCCACCAGGCACATCGGTTAGTACTACGCCGAGAGTCTGTTTCCGGATCCTTTCACTTTCAGACCAGAACGATGGTTAGGAGAAGATGGCCGTATTCTTCGAAAGTTTCAGGTGGCTTTTGGCAAAGGGGGGCGCAAGTGTTTGGGTATCGAATTGGCGCGCGCTAGATTATTGTTGGCGACGGCAGCGTTATTAAGAAAATTCGAGATGAAGTTATGGAATACAGATGAAAGTGGCGTGGCGTTTGTACATGACTGGCAAGTTTCCCACCCGAATCCTGAGTCTGAGGGGAGTAGGGTTATGGTGGAGATGGTTTGATACGTAGGGTTTTTCCTGGACAAGCGGTTGGCAGCACTACATAGGATCTCCAATGAAAACAATGCATTTGAATAAATTACAAATGTCAGCTTACACTTGCATCTTTTTCCTTTCGTGAAACTCCGGAGTTCGGAAACACGAAACTACCCTATGGTTTTTTCGTTACAGGAGTACTAACCATATCTTCTTTGGGCTCTCAGTATATTAACATTCTTCCCCTTTCTATTTGAATTTCTATCATTTGATTTTACAAATGTTCAAGGAGACTCTGGAAACAGCATCTGAAATTTCTGCGGTCTCCATGTAGGGAAACTTACTGCAAGAGAAGATTGACAACAATCGTGATAGCAATGACGGTGAATGAACAGATAGAAGAGAGCAAGAATAGATCGACAGCAATATCTAACTTCTTCCCCATTTCTTTTCTTGCTATCACCATCATTTCCAAACTTCACATCTACAAATTCGTTACCACAAGTCTACGTAACCACAACTCTAGCTACGCATAATCTTTGTCTCTGATGACAGTGCAACTATTCCTTCACGATGTAAATTAGGAATACCATGGGCTTTTTATAACCCATCATCAATGCCTGTTGATCATCTCCCTGTGCCTCACAAATGGGACGGCCTAATCCTTTCTGTCTTCAGACTTTGTTCCAGATAATCCTAGTTATCATCCTGTCAAATCGACCTCTTGTCCCTTGGTATCAATGACTTCTCAGCTTGGATTATATGAACATGCTCTTCCGCATTGCCTTGCCCATCAAAGAATCCAATTCAAATGAAAGCCCACAACAGGAGTTGTTCAAACGCTAGAGAAACGACCCGCTATGTTCCCCACATTGGATTGATATCTAGCTTGGTATATTAGAATTTGCAAAGTCAAATACTTTGTTGGTGTTTGAGAAACAGACGAAGGGAAGGTAACGATGATATATCCAACGACAACAATGATGTTGAGGGAAAATGACAGCGATACGTTACCTCGTCTTTCCATTTGGTATTTTCTCTTTTGCTAATTCCAATGAGAAAGACTTCTCAAATGTAGCTTCATATTTGCACATGATCATAGAAGAATCACTATTCGTTTAGCCGTTCATGTTCGTATCTGGGACTTTTTATTAGTGATGTAGGATAGAAAAAAAGGAGTTTATATAGTCATCCGTTCATGTTCTTTCACATGACATACCTAGGTCAAAACTCATAATTTAGGGACATTTAAATTCACTTGAATATAGCCGGAATAAACATGCACTAATCCCCAACATCGTTCTCCAATTTTCTTCCGATGCAAACTCATCGCCTTCCACATACCCGACCGCCTTTTCTTAAGCGGTAGAGCTATGCATATATAAACAACAAATACTCCCCTTTGTTTTCATTTAAGACATCGACACAAGAATTGCAGAATGTATTAGGCTGGACTTCGATCTCAAGAAAGCTGAAGAGCAAACCTGGTTATGCGACGGGTCTCAGAGGCGTGAATAATAGATTTTGGCGAGAAGACATACGGAAGTATATGAGGAAGTTTTAGAAGGAGAGGAATGATAGCGATACTCAGAGATGGCAACATAGATATTATCGGTAATGAAAAACAAAGGACACAAAAAATAATACCTCCCTTCCATCTCTCTTACTTATTCACCTCACCAACCAGCCCAATTATCCTCCCCCAAGAGTCTTGACCATAAGTTAACCATCTAGCTTGCATGAAACACCATTCTTCTTCCTCCACTACATCACCATAGAAATCTTACCGAGATCTACAAAGACAGTATAGAATGAAAGGCACAATCATAACCCACCATCTCATTCTTCTTTCCGCCCTTTCTCAAAATTCACACTTGCATATTCATACTAAAGTTCAGCAGACAATGGTCAAATATTCGCACTCCTCAATCTACAAGAGACCTCTGCTTCTAGCGTCATATCAGTCATATAGCTTGCATGGTTCACACCTATTCCATCACCATCCCCGCTTTTCCCACTCACTCACTCACTCTCTCACTCACCTACTCAACAACCGCGTATATTTATATAAATAACTTCTCTCCCCATCACCCAATTTCCCCAAATAAAGAACAATCGAGAGGCATCCATTGAGCAAAGAGGCCCCACCCGTGTATCCCCAACCAACAAGCAGAACACCTCTCGATTCCATGAAACCCTCCTTAAAACCCATCTAATCCTCGCCAGTTCTCCAAAAGGGGGGTAACTTTTGATCGACAACAATGATAACAATAACAGAAATGATGAATTGATAATCGAAGCAACTGAATGGAAAGTATTTACTCACCACAATATCTACTACACAAGTAAGTTTAATATCATCGACAACACCCACCAAAAAACCCCTATTACCAAAATCAACACCAACAAATCTACTTCTTTCCCATCCGCAACCTCAACCCTTAACTCATATTCTCTTACAAAGATCACAACTCCCACTATCCACTATTCACTCCCCTCTATCTCATCCAGAGTTTTTTTTCAGTTCAGCACCTCCAGTCTTCACCACCCAGAAACTCTGTCCCTCTGCACCCCATTTGCCATCCACACTCTCTCGCCACCCTTCTCGCCACCCCTAAATCATAGCTCGTTCATGATTCACCTACTAATCCAATTTCCACCTCCCCTTCATCCCCCTACATCCCCAAGCGCATCTAAAAGCACCCGCGAGAAACAACTCTATCCAGCCTACCCTACCTACCCTACCTGCCCTGCCCTGCAAAACAACGCAATGCAATAAAACGCACTACACCTACCCCTCCCATATCCATCCATCTCCATCCACGCCCCCCTCCCACCACAAAAACAAAAACAAAAACCACAAAACCCACAAGGAGATCCGGAGATCCGGAGCCCAATCCATTCCCGCATCCAAAACAAGGAATTACTTTTCTTCCATCTTCTATCCTCTCTCGATCTCCATTCTATCCCCCTCTATCCCTCAACCCCCAAAGCCCAAATCAGAACTACCAACAGTAGGTAGGTAAATATTCAAGATCACCACATACGTCCCCCCCCCCCCCCATTTCCTCCGTCCCTCCTCCAAAAAATATCAAAACAAATGCCCCCAAAAGATGAAAATAGAAACAAAAGTATTAAACATACATATGACATTAGGAACCAGAAACTTGATCTCAAAAATTGAGAAATTGATGATAAAAGTCCAAGATATCCTACCCACCTACCAACCTACCCAAACCACAAGATCACCGTCTCCAAGATCCAGATCCACCACTCCTTCTTTTACTTCCCCATTTTTAAACTCTCCTCCCACAATGTATACCCAAGCACAGTAGACAAATTAATATTCCAAACAAAGTGAAAAGTACAAGTACACGTGTATATTTCAATTCAAGAACTCGCACAAACCTTGTCACAACCAAACCCAACAAACACCCAAATGTATATTAAAGACCAAAATCTAGGTAGGTGGAGAGATGTTTCATATTCTTCATCTATATATATGTACTTGAGTATATGTAGATGTGTATATATATAATATCCTATTATCTTATTTTCCATCCCTAATCATTCTCTCATTGTAAAGAAATTGATTTCATCCAAAGAAATATTTATATCCGTCGAAAATTCGTATTTGCGCATATTCATCTGAATCATACGCTTTATGACCGGACCGCTCAACTCGATGTAACGAATCATTTCACATCCTCCATTCCCAAGTCTCCCTTCCCCTCCCTTTCCCAGCCTAATGATCTTACGACTACATCATCATATCATATCCTAAATCCATCCATCTCCAATCATCTCGGGTCATGAAAGTTATTGTTTACAAAAAAAAGGAAAGAGAAGAGGCTGAAACATGACGCACTCCAAAAAAAAACAAAAATCCACCATCCTAAACACCATCGCAAGAAAACCTGACTTCAAACAAATAATATCTCATGTAGAGAAAACGAGAGTACCTCCGAAATATCCTAATAAATCCCCAGGACCGGTTTTGTTTTGTCTTTCCTTTTGTATTCGCATTTTCCAGTCCATTCATCCATCCATCTTTCCATCTCTTCTAGT